AAAAAAAATGATGTTACATTTTCTATTGTCTTATCAGTTATGATATGTTTTCTTGTTCGCATCGGCAGATAAGATAGAAGTCCTTCATTTACACGAAGTTTTTTAGCGGTTGAAGCAATATAAAGAGAGCATCCTATTTATTTTTGAATTTTACGTATACTTCATGAAAGTGGAAGAATTGTTAAAATGTGAATTTTTTCAAACAGAGTAGTAGCTTTTTTATACTTTTCTTTCAATTCATTGATAAAATTAGAATCTAACACACTGGTATCTTTATTTTCATGCTTTTCATCATTATTTTTATATTCCCTTAGAATCGCAGCTTCAAATAATCAACGAGAGCATTAATTTTGTCTTCTACTATACGAGGATTTTTCAAATCAGTCAAACGTATATTATTTAAATGTAATTTATCATTCAATTCATTTAATGGTTTTAGTACATAATCACGTTGACTATTTTCTTCAAGCTTGAAGTCATTGTCGTTTTCTGTTGACATAAAGCAATAGTTCGATTGTTCGACGTCAACGGCAGGTGATGATAAATCGTCTATATTAAAATTGTACGTCTCTGAACATACCATTTCTGTTTCCATGTACTCCACTTCATGGTCATTTTCAGGAGCTGCACTAGTATCCATAGTAGGTGAATCTTCAGTTACTTAACCCATTAACGACCAAAGAGGTCAGTTTTTGGACATATTTTTGATCGCAAAATTCATTTGGTTGAAGCATTGTAGTCCTGAGAAAGAAAAAAGAATGAAACGGAGGGACCAAGAAGGGGAGCTAGAAGCGGACTCGGGAGGGAAAGAAGAAAGAAGTGAAGAAAGTAGAAAGGAAGAAGAAAAGAGGCCCTGGAACGACCAGAGCGTTATGAATAAAGTGATAATTAGAGGAGAGGTGGAGACGGCTATAAAGGGTATTAAAAAAGGAAAAGCAGCGAGACAGGACGGAATTCCAGGAGAGTTCTACAATAATATGACGGAAGGTTGGCTGGCAGAATTACCAGAGACATTGAACGAGATATAGATCACTGAAATGTTACCAGAGGAATGAAAAAAAGCCCGCATTTTTTTAATTTACAAAGTGGCGAGGAAAATATAGCTGAGAGTTTTACATTATAAAGTGGTATCACTGTTAGATGTGAGTTACAAGATTTTTGCAGGAATTATAAATGACAGACTTAGATCCTGAATAGAAGATGAATGTATATTAGGAGAGAGTCAGGCAGGAATTAGGATGGAAAGAGGAACGAAAGATTATATTTTCACTTTAAACAGTATAATAGAGAATAAAACCAAGAGAGAAAGAGGGAACATACATTTGGGATTCATTGACTTCAAGAGAGCCTTCGATTCGGTGGACAAAAAAAATTTCGTCCGAGGTGATGGCGATAAACGGGGAAGAAGGTTAAGGAGAGATGCAAAATAGAATTATAAAGGAGAGAGACTGGAAGTAGTAGAGGAATATAAATATTTAAGATCTTGGTTTACTACGAAGAGTGGATACGGAACGCATATAAAGATAAAGAAGCAAAAAGCGCAGAGGGCATGGACAAATAGTATATGGGGTTTAATGAAAAGAGCAATACTCAATACAATGGACACCGCAAGAAGAAATGGAAAAAAATCAAGCAAAAGTAGTCAAGATGACACTAGGTATCAATATGAACGCACCAGATTATATATGGATATAAATTACATAGGGAAGATCGCTGAAATGGATGACAAAAGACTTCCGAAAATATGTTTAAAAGAGGAAATGAGAGGGATAAGGAATAACAATCCTACAAGATGGGGAAGGGAATGGTTGGAATCAGCTAAGAAGGCATGAAATGGTAAGCTAAAAATATTAATGGAAAATGGATTAGAGAAAGAACAACTTATGGAAACCACAGAAAGAACCTTAAAAATAAGAGCAAAAGAAGACATACAAGTAAGATGGAAAAAGATAGACGAATCGAAATATTGGCAGCACTACAAGAAATGGAAAAAATCAATAGGAAGGGAGAATTACTGGAGGGAATGTGGAGTGAGGACCATATGATAGAGGAATGGGCAAGAATAAGGTGTGGGAGCATAAGAAAGGAAGGAAACAAAGGTTACATCAATCAAACATGCAGAGTATGTGAAAACGAAGAAGAGGACCTACAACACATATGAATATGCGAGGCGGCGAAGAAGATTATAAGTAAAGAATGGGTAATGGCTGTGGACGACTGAAAAGGGGAGAGCAGGGGAGAAGAATTGATAAGAAAATTGGGAAAAGTGCTTGAGGGAAGGATAGATCATGGTACGAGTTAATATGCAAGGGCTTTCGAGAAGATAATAGAAAGAAACAAGAAATTTGAGAATAAGAAATAAATGAAAGAGGATAGGAGGTTCAAATTGAAAGACTTATAGTCTGCAGGTCAAGGCAGGGAACTAGGGAAATTAGAGGAGAGAAGAAAAGTTAGGAAAGAAGAGGAAGAAGACTATTTAAATAAAGTACTGTGGACCAAAGAATAATATTTATATTATTCGCGGATATCTATGTACGAAATTAGGACGGTTGATTTCATGAGGTTGTATTATATGATGTGGTGAAGTAAACTATTAATGTATATTTATCTGGAATAAAATTATTATTATTATTACTAATTTTTTTTTTTTTTGTAGTTAAATATGCATTAAATTTGTTTTTTTTTTCAATACTAATATCAAGAATAGATTTCTGTGCCATTGTTAAAAGCGAAAAACTCTGTGAAATAATGACGAAGTCGAAGCCGACCTTAATACGCCGAGCGCTCTGGTTTCATCGGAACGCAAGTTGCGAACTTCAAACACATACTCAATCACGCGAGAGATCATTTTTTACAGAATTTTAAGAGTTTCTCTTAACAGTAAAAAGTAAATTCAACAATATAAATTTATATAATATATATTTGATATCTTAAAAATGGCCATTTTCGACTTTTTTGCAAATTTTGACCTCATAAACAAAAACTAATGCAAAATCTCGAATTACACGATCCAGAGGGCATTTATTTACAATATTTCTAACATATTTCCGTCGAGTTTTTTCATATTTGAATTTTTGTCTCTAATTTTTTCTATTGATCAGACTACATGCTTGATTACTTGAGCACGGTTAAAGTTAAGTGCTCACGCACGGAGTGTTGAAAAGATATTGTAATGCTATTTTATTTTAAAAATATTAAATATACAGTTAGTATGTATCAATTTTTTGTTTAATATTCTCAATTTTACGTGAAAATCAAGTCATTGAAAGAATCGTCAAATGAACAAAAAAATATCAAGAATAAGGCTAAACTTATAACCTCGTACTTATATTATCTATCCTCGGAATTTTAGAGTTTTCAAGCACCAGCAAAAATTGTAGGTGCATTGTAGCATCATCTTTGTCTTTACCATGTTGCATGCCACAAAAACTATTCAATAAAAAATTGGTTATAAAAAGATTGTACGAATTAATAATAACAACCAAGAAATAAGCGATATTTACACTATAATTAGGATTTTCAAGTTTCTGTGCATTGGTAAAAATCTGGGACAAAGATATTATAGTTGGATTCTATCATTATTATTGATATTTATAAAGTCGGATGCAAAGAAAATTTTTTTAAAAATGTAAAAATCAATAACAATGGCCAATGTTTAGAAATGCAGGATATTTACTTTGTTTACTATATTTACTCTATTGAGTTTCAAAGCATGAGTAAAGTTATTGTAGATACATTTAGCATTATCTCGGTATCCTATAAGTATATTTTATTATTATTTTAAATAGTTGTTTAGTATTATATTGAATAGTTATCTTGATGATACAGTGATATCGCAAAGTAAGAAAGACATTGACAGGTATTATCAAAAGTTTTGTATTTAGATCGATGCATTATAATTTTCATATAGTTTATACACAGTTGATATATATTTAATAACACCATTTGGATTCCTTAAAAAGATTCATAATTATTTGTGAAAAAAATGTTTATTTTCATTATAAATCAATGTTACAAACTTTAGAAACAGTAAAGTAAAGAAAAAGTAAAGTATTCTTGTTACACATATCTATAATATGAATTACAATAACTTTTCATCACAAATTTGTATACTCAACTAAAAAAAATTTAATATATAATATGCAAATTTAAAATGTTTTGTGAGTGAATACTTTTTTACTTCTAGATTATAAAAATAGTCGTACCAGCTCTTGTTAGTTTTTATTAAATAATAACTAACCATATATGAAAATTATATTTGATATAAAATAGATAATTTGATAAATTATTTCTTCCAATAAAAATCATATTTTAAATTATAATATATATTAAACACATTAGAAAATATAACAATATTGATTTCAAGATACTATTGAAAAGCTTTCTAATTTTTGATTTATTAAAAAAATTACTTTGTTCAATAATACATTGTTTATCCTAAATTATAAGAAACTATAGATGCACTGTAAATTTCAATTTTTTTTTATTAAAATTTACTGTAATATGAAATATTTTAAAACATATAACTCAAACTTTTCTTGAAGATTTTCTATGGTCTACATTGGGCTTGTAATAATTTAAAAATCAATATACTGTGCAATTTCAATTAAACTAACAGTATATTTTTTTTTAATAATGCAGTTCATTCATACAAATAGATATGTAGAAATTCTATAGAATAATAAAAACTACAGATATGATTGGTGTCAAACACAATTCAAAAAACACAATTCACATGCAAGGTCCATATAATGTAATCTATTGAAATGTATTTATTTTGAATTAATCATAAACATGTTGGTTGTAATGAGTATTGTGTTATGAAAAGCACATAGTTATTCTGATTAATAAAATTATATTATTTTAATGAAGATTCTAAATTTTAATTAAAAGATTATAGAAAATAAAGAAGTCGTCTTTCACTAATCAGTTTGAATCAGAAGTATTTGGTTTGTTTGTACCCAGAAATATATTATTAATAAATTTCAAATAAAACTCACGTTAAATTCTATTAATAAATATTGATGACGTTCGAAGATTTGGAACCTGTATATAATTTAGGTAGTTAGAGATTACGGTGTTCACAGAATTTTTCTGACACTATCACGGAGATATTAATTCGGACACTATCAAACATAACAAGACTATGCACTACGCAGCCATTTGTGCGCTGATTTATTGAAACTTTGAGGGGGCGCGATTTCGAATTAAAGAAAATAAAACATGATAAAACTAAATAAAATGACTGTTACATATGACATTATTAATATTAATTTTCATATTATTGTAACGTCGGGAACAGGTCAGGCCATATAAAAGCGGGAAACTTAAATTTTTATGGAAGGGGAATTCTCTCAATTAGAGTAATGCCTAATTTAAATCTGACCTTGCTCTTTGTCGACGCGTGCTCCTCTTATGGATTTAACCCTTTATAGACTAGTTTAATGTATAGTTTTATGTGTTTTGCCTTATAAAAGATGTGAGAGAGCGACTGTCGAAAGAACTTAGTATTCTACTCTGAAACACTCCGGAGTGAAGTCTCTGTATCACTTGATCTGATTAATAAATATTTAAACTAAAATACCACTTGTCATTTATATTATAAATTAGGAAAGGTCTTACGTCTATCCAATATAGCTACAACATATCCCTGAATCCTGTAGTACGAGTTATAGGACGAGTCAACTTTCAGGTAAATCTATTTCTATTAACCGTTACTTTTTCTAGTCGGTGCCTTAGCTTGATTGCCAGCCTGCTCTTGCTTACGCGTTGGCCGAAAAGAGACAGTCGCTGTTGAGTAACTATTGTCAATCCGCGGCCGTTACGTGAGACGTAACATTGTAATTAAATAATAATTTTATATTGTAATTTTGATAAACTAAATAAAATGACTGTTTTATATGGAATTATTAATATTAATTTTCATATTGTAATTAATATTAATAATTTTATATATGGCCAATTCCATCTCAGATCATGCAGAGCTCCCCACACACCTGTCACCAAGCTACTCCAAAGTATTTTTTTATTGTTCTAGGTCAAAAATAAGAGGACCCGTATTTTTTCTTTTTTCTCTCAGATGCATAGTTCCGTCAATAATGCAATCGGAAAATGCACTGCTGAAAAGGGAAAATTGAGAAAATTTTTTCAATTAAATTTGGTTTCCTCAATATTTTTTTTATTTTTCGATACAATTAAATAATTTTTATGTCATCTATAGTAGAAACGAAGTTCTTCAAGTCTAATTTATCAAAAATATGAATGTATGCATTTTTCGGGAGAAAATGCATGTTTTCGAAAAAGTGCATCTTGGAGAAAAAATTGTGTATCTCAAAAAGGCCATAATTTTTTGCGCTCAAATTTTTTTTATATATTCTTAGTACCAATACCTTCAAATCCATTCGATCAAAATTTGCTGTTTTTTCGTTATATCGCTTAAAAAAATTAAAAAAAAAAGTTTTACATTTTCAAGTCAAACGCGATAAATACATTCAGGAATTCATGTTAGCGACTATGTAGGTTAATAACTGAACTACAATAACATGTAACTCAAAGAAAAAGCTCACTTTTATTCAATCATGTCTGCAAGAAATGTAAAATTACACGATCATTTTTTTCTGTTTGAGTTGATTACTTTTACAACTCTCTTCACTTTTTTAGATACAACTTTCACTTTCTTGCCCTTGTTTACATTTTCGTTTTTCTTCTTATGAGTACTTTTCTTTTTTTTTCATCTTTTTTCACTTCAATCCATGGATGCGCAGCCGTTCGAGCTATAATACATTCGCTCCTCCCTTCCGAGACAACAGATTTCCACATGTGGCAACGTTGAATACCCTGATATTTCTGGCATTTGTGTCTTTGCTCCATTTGACTACTACGAAAATTGTTTATCTCTGCAGTTTCCATCAAAATCAGCTCTATAGAAGTTGTGTATTTTGATACATTTTCAACAAAACTTTTAGCAGTTTGAATAGCATCAAATTCAGTACTGCGTAAATTATGCACTGTTGCATAATGCTTTACCAAACCACCTATACCATCTACAGCACCCTTTCCATGACCAGTAGCAGAGAATATCCATTTTTTACTCATACTTGCATTTAAAAATTCATTTAACTGGAATCTATTTTTGAAATGACTTGCAGCGCCATCAGATACTAGTAGTATAGCAATGTATGTTCCAGCACACCTGCGGGGGGTCCGTAACCCTTTGACCCCACCGGGCTTAACCCTTTGGACCCCCTGGCTATGTTAATAATAATTATTATTGTTAACAATTATTATTAACAATATTCGTGGGGGGTCCCTTGGTTTAACCATTTGATTCCCTGGCCTCTATCCCTTCTATGTTAATTATTATTATTATTATTATTAATGTTAATAATTGTTTATAATTTTTGAGGAAGGTTTCTAGGGCTCCTAGTCCCTAGGGCTCCTAGTCCCTAGGGACCCTATACCTAGTGCTTTTAGTCTAATTAAATTTAAATGTTTTTTTAAAGTTATAAATATATATATATTATTAATAATTTACTTGCTACATTGAGAATGAAACGAATATAGAAAATAGCGACGATTTTTTTTTGAAAAAAATGAAAGGACAGACCGGAGAATCGAACCGGAGACCTCTGGGTTGGCAGGCTAGCGTTCTACCACTAGAGCCAATGCCACATGTACCTTAGAGGATGCATATTGTGTATATTAGCTACACACGCATACATTTGGTATAGGGCCCGAGCGTGCGGAGGAGGAGGAGGGGAGCGCATGCTGTCTATAGTTCTGGCCTGATGGGGGTGCGCTACTATAGCAGTATTAAATGTATGCTCTCTCTCTCTAGCTCTGACTCAGCGTGGTCCACAGTGTGAGGAGGAGGGGAGCGCATGATCAGCTATGCTTATTAACTACCCTATTATCTTAAGTTAATTATGTCTATCATAAATGTAGATCATAGCTGGTTTGAGGGTGATCAAGCTTCTCTACTACTTTCAGAAAGAGAGAGCATCTATGCTTACTACGTTCCCTCTTATCTTATGTTACCTATGACTATCGCAAATCATAGACGGTTTAAGGATGGTCAAACAAAACTCATAGCGCGGACGCGTGACCTGCGTTTAATGTGTTTTTTGCGGATGACCATAAAGTCAGCGGGACGTCAAGATTTATAGTTTTTAGAAAGTGACAAACTTTCTAGCCTACATGGGGTGGGAAAGGGTACACTAAACGTCCTATCTCACTCAAAGAATTTCTACGTTTGTGTGTAGCGTTACATATATTGAAGAAAATTCGTACCTGATAATAGTGTGAGTGTTCGGTAGGATTTTCGTTGGTCAGTCTTAAAGGAAACTTCGAGCGGTTCACAGTGCAGTGCTAATTGTTTATTATTATTTAAACATTAGTAAGTTTTATATTTTTTTAAAGTTAATTAATAAAAATAAAACAACAACAACAATGGAAAGTATCACCAAAGCGTGTGAGTTTTTAGAAACTGTAAGTATAATTTTAAATAATTTAAAAATAATTAAAATAACTTTTATAATTTTTTAATAATATTATTATTCAATTTCAGCTTACCACTTCAGATTACCAGCTTCCGACCATGCAGAATGTCGGAAAAGAGCCGTATATCGGCTCTTAATTTTAATATTAATTACCGTAAGTATTTTTTCTCATATATTTATTTATTTATTTATTTATTTATTTATTTATTTATTTATTTTCAGTTGCAACGATTTGTGGAGGAGAGCAGTCCTCAAGCACTGCAAATTCAACAAATAAAGGCGATTGTCCAACAAGTACGTATTATTATAAAATTATATCAATTTATATTTTTTATTAATATTTAATTGTCTTTTCTCTTTTTCAGTGGATCAAGGAATCTATAGCGGCCAGAATGATGGCGCATCAAGTCGCCTATCAAATTGACAAAATTGTCAATGATCGCGTCAACGCCAAACTAGAACAACATAAGCGTGCGGACGCTATGCGGAGGCAGCAAGAATCCGCTCGATTGGAGCGGAAACGGAAAGCCGCCTTAGCTAAAGCGCAGCAAGACGAACTTGCTGCGAAAGTTAAGCGAAGGCTTTCCAGCATTGCTGCACCATCAACAACAGCCATGGTGAATGAAGGTAATGGGTCATCTTCGAGGCTGTCAACGACATCTACATCGATGACATTATCATCGTCATCATCAGCAACGTCGAGGACAACATCACCAGCGACGTCAACAGCAACGTCGAGGACAACATCACCAGCGACGTCAACAACAACCTCTTCGACAGCAACATCCGCAGGCTGTCAAAGAGGAGATAATACTCAAATTGATAAACCACTCGATTTGACCGCTAATGTAAGTAATTTAGTTATACAATGAATTAATAAATTTAAATTAAAAATAATAATTAAAAAATTTGTTTACAGAAAAAAATTCCGGTGGTAAAAAACGTTGAGTGTGTTCGACAGAAAGTAATTTTGATTCCGGCACAACCAACCATCAGGAAGCCGACTCGCCCCTCTAAGGTCGTCGGGTCCAAAAAAATTAAATAGTAATATTGAAAAGAAAAAAAATTGTATTTTTATAAAAAATAATGTATTTTATAAAAAAAATAATAAATTAAACTAAAATAAAAAATTAATAATGTTTTAATTTACTTAGGATCTACCAGTGCCCCCACCCCCATTCACCTATTCCACCCACCTACCTACTCTCACCCACTCACCCACCAATATTCATCTACATAGGTTGGTAAGGTAGGATGCTGTAGAAGTTGGTAGGGTATTTAGTAAGCTGTATGATGGTCTCTCTCCTTCTATAGTAGGGAGCATAGTAAGCTTATGCTGGCTAAGTTTGGGCCTTCGGAGAGGGGGTAGCGTCTCTAGCTTGCTAGGTGCGTACGCCGTTTAGTGTGTATGCTATTCTCTTTCTCTCTCTCTCTCTCTAGGATTATAGGTAGTTTGTATTAAATTCTAACAATATATAGTGTATATGTATATAATTTTATTTTTTTATTGAAAAGCATTATGTACATTGATTACATAATGTCTTGTTAATTTCAAACTAATTTTTTAACATCACCACTAATCGGGTTATATTGTACAATACGATCGTGTAATATTAAGCAGTAGGCTGCAGTATCTTCAGG